GGGGGGGGGGGGAAGGTAAAACAAGCAGGCGAACAAAGCAACCACAGAATTCTAGACAGTGGTAAGTACTAACAATAATGTTAATAGTGATAGTGATAATAAAGTATTTTAGCAGATAAAATGGCAGGAGTGTGTTCTATATTTCCAGATAGAATGGTCCAAGAAAGTATCTCTGAGCCCAGGTGAATGATGATGGGGACCCAGCCATGCAAAAATTTGGGGGAGCCCTGACCAGTGTGGCTCAGTGGTTAGAGTGTTGGCCTGTGGACAGAAGTTGTGGGTTCGATTCCGGTCAAGGGCATGCACCTAGGTTGAAGGCTCTATCCAGACTCCCAGGGGGGGCACATGCAGGAAGCAGCCAATCAATGTGCGTCTCTCTCACATCGATGTTTCTCTCTCTGTCTCTCCCTCCCTCCCACTCTCCCTAAAAAACCAATGGAAAAAATACCCTTGGGTGAGGATTAACAAAATAAGATAAAATTTTAAAAAATCTGGGGGAACAGCAACTATAAGCCTGAGGTGGGAACTGACGTGTTTGGTTAAAGAAAGAGTGTTGGTAGGCAGTGAATGCAGTCAGAGGAGGGTGGGTCGGCAGGACAGGGCAAGGGCATGATTCTAAGCCTAACAGCCGCTGGAGCACCTTCAGCAGGGATGACGTGTCCCGATTACTTTTTAAAAGGTTATCAGTGTCGCTTCAGACTCACATAACGCCTTATCCTGAAATTCCTAAGGTGAGGGCCCAAAGACATTTTGGTTTGGAGGAATTTATTTAATTTTAATGCCTCTAGCAGGACATGTGTTCTCCTATATCCCCAGGCCTCACCATTCCCTATTGCTTTCTTGGCCCAGTGACATATTCACATCACATTCCTGGTCACTTGAGGCATTTGTGTTTGTGACTCCCCATCTCATACAATTCTCCTAGTTGTACAGTATAAGAAATGGAGGCTCAAGAAGTAAGCTTGTTTAAAGTAAAATGCTCGAGCCGGGGCTGGTCCGGCGCTGAGCGGCCGGCACGCCCTCCCTCCGCGCCCGCTCCACCGCAGGCC